CCAGGTATCTGAATCCCTCCCTCCTGCACCATCCCTGTAGCCATGTGTTCAACTGCTCTCTCTCCCTATTCCTCGCCTCGCTAGCACGTGGCACGGGTAACAAACCAGAGATAACAACTCTGTTTGTTCTAGCTCTAAGCTTCCACCCTAGCTCCTTGAATTTCTGCCTTACGTCCCCATCCCTTTTCCTACCTATGTCGTTGGTGCCTATGTGGACCACGACTTGGGGCTGCTCCCCCTCCCCCTTAAGGATCCCAAAAACACGATCCGAGACATCACGGACCCTGGCACCTGGGAGGCAACACACCAACCGCGAGTCTCTCTCGTTCCCACAGAATCTCCTATCTGTCCCCCTAACTATGGAGTCCCCAATGACTAATGCTCTCCTCCTCTCCCCACTTCCCTTCTGAGCAACAGGGACAGAGTCTGTGCCAGAGACCTGTACCCCATGGCTTACCCCAGGTAAGTTGTCCCCCCCAACAGTATCCAAAACGGTATACTTGTTTTTGAGGGGAATGGCCACAGGGGATCCCTGCACTGTCTGCCTGTTCCCTTTCCGTCCCCTGACTGTAACCCATCTACTTTTTTCCTGTACCCGAGGTGTGACTACCTCCCCGTAACTCCTCTCAATTACCCCCTCAGCCTCCCGAATGATCCGAAGTTCATCCAGCTCCAGCTCCAGTTCCCTAACACGGTTTCCGAGGAGCTGGAGTTGGGTGCACTTCCCGCAGATGAAGTCAGTGGGGACACTAGTGGTGACCCTTACCTCCCACATTCTACAGGAGGAGCATACAACTGCCCTAACATCCATTCCCACTGTTCTGAATTCCCAAACAAATTTAAAAAAAAATTGTAAAATTCATCCTCCTGGGTTCAATTGTAAGAATCTATCCCAAAATCTTGTTTATTGCAGATAAACAGCAACTTGTTAAACAAGACAGCATACTTACTGCAGCAGCCAGAAAAGGCAGTTTTCTTACAATTTTGAAAAAGCACTTTTTAAGTCTTGAGGGAATACCTGTGGAGAGATGTGTAAAATCTTCAAATGTCAGAAATTACAAAAAAACAGAGAACACAATGTGACTTGTTCAGAGATAGTGGACACATTTTTTTCAGATGAGCCTGCATATCTCGTGTGGGACTTTTCTTTTATAGAATCCCTAGTGTGGAAACAGGCCATTCGGCCCAACAAGTCCACACTGACCCTCCGAACAGCATCCCACCTGGACACCCCGCCCTCCTCCACCCTATGCCAGCAACCCTGCACCTCCCATGGCTAATTTACCTAACCTACACATCCCTGGACACGATAAGCAATTTAACATGGCCAATCCACCTAACCTACACATCTTTAGGCTGAGGGAGGGAACCGGAGCACCCAGAGGAAACCCACGCAGATGTGGGGAGAATGTATAAACTCCACACAGACAGCTCGCCGAGGCTGGAATTGAACCTGGGTCACTGGCGCTGTGAGGCAGCAGTGCTAACCACTGAGCCACCATGCCAACCCTGATTTGCAGTCCAAAATACAACAAAAATGCTCGATCAATCCAAGCTCAAATATAAACAGATCAACCTGTAGACCTGCACTGCTTCCAAGGCAAACCAAAAATATAAATCTTGCATATTGGTGTGTTCCTTCCATAAATTCCACATGACCAAAATGCATAAAGACTTTGTAGTAAGCTTTCAACTATTGACCAGAAACATTTATGCATCCAAGTCTGAATGATGGCAGCTTCTGAAGGAGTCACATCGGACTCGAAATGTTAACTCTCCTGCTCTCTCCTGTTGCCAGGCCTGCTAAGCTTCCCCCAGAATTTACTGCATTTGTTTCAGATTACCAGTGTCTACAGTATTTTGCTTTTATCCTCATAAACTTACTTTGGTGTTGGAATAGAAACCCATACAGCCACACACCCACAAGAGTGGTCACAGCAGTGATGGCAATGATTTGCCAGGGCTCCAGGCCTTGGCAATGTGCATTCACATACGTCTTTCCCTTTTTCAGATACAGCCATATTGTCTCTTTGTACACATCCAGCGTTTCCTGCAAGAAGAAAAACAAACATTAGCAACTACATTCTTAAATCAAGAACAAGGCAGAAAGGTACCTCAACTCCACTTACCCATGGTTGTTCCGCATAGCTTGCTGCTTTCACTGAACAAAAACTCCCTTCTTTCAGTCTTGAAAGCACCAAGTAGTCCCCAGCTTCCCAGTCCCTAGTCGCAAATTATGAAATTTCTGATCTTTTCCCACACTGTCAGACATGTTCCACCAAAGAAAGCAAGATTTTCTGCCTCTACTCTGTCGAATTGTTTTACAAGTACAATGTCCCAAACTCAAACGTCCGTAAGCCAAAATTGCCCAAAAACCAGACATTTGAATTTTTTTAAAGTGTAAATGAACTGTCTTGCAGCCAGTTCTCAGCTATCAGTTATGTACGTTTTTAACTGCTGCAACAGCAAATCAAAGGATAGCCATCAATCCAAGACAAAACTTGGACAGCCGGATGATGCCTTACTTGGATATCACAAACGTAACATTGTTGTGATGCATTTCTGAACTACAGGAAGATGCCAGCTGTGAATTTAGAGTACTTCCTTAATTCAGAGCATGAAGTTCCAGAAAACATTTCACAAGTATTAACTCCAAACACCAAACTGCTGAGAGATATTCAGAACACTTTGGATGTGGCATATAGCAAAGCAGAAGAGTACATTCCTAATTCAGAGAAAGCAAATCTAAGTGTTACAATGAAGCAGCTAAAACCACGCCAACCCAACATCCAGGAAAATCTGAAATCGAGCAAGACTCTCAGTCCTCAGGTGCGGTACATGTAATGCTTCTGAAAGAGTCAATGTTAAAATTGCATTAGTTCCAACCAATCAGTCTTTGGGTAAAGGCAGGAGCTCTACACTGGCCATTGTAGGGAGCAGATATACTCTGTACAAATCCTGAGAGTTCTAGTAAACATGCCTGACTAGTAATCTGAGTTTTACTTACTTGTATCCTGCAATAAGCCATCGTGTTAGCTAATGTACGTGCCTCGATATTGTTCAAAGTCACCAATGGTCTATCTCTGCCAATGATAATCAGACAGGCCCTCAACACAATATAGACAAAAGGAGGATTAGTAGCACCCTCAACCACCCTGCCCAGTAGCACAGTCTGGCAATGAGGGCAAAAGCTATGTAAGGGTGCTGGATTATGTTAAACAGGATAAAGAGATCTCCTCAGCATTTTATGTACTTCCAAACAAGCTATCAGACATCCTTTGCCTGCTTCTTCAACCAAGCCCTTGTTCCAAACAAACTCAACTGCTCCAATGCTCCCCTATCAGCCTCATGCACTGAATCTAAGCAAAACTCTGCCACCTGCATCCCAGCTCCAATTAAGTCTTGTTCATCCATTACTTATGTACCACTGACCTACACTTTTGCTCAGTCTGCAATTATCACCACTTAGTAAATAAATTTCATGCTTGCTGTCAAACTGCTCCAAGATCTCACATTTTCATATTTGTAATCTCAACATATAACCCTCCAAGACATTAATGCTTCTCGAATTCTGGCCAGTTGTGTATCCCTGATTTTAATAGTTTCACCATTGATGGCCACTTTTTAAAAAAATTCATTCATGGGATGTGAGGGATGTGGGCATGATGGCAAGATCAGCATTTATTGGTATGTTTGCGGATGACGCAAAATGAAGTGAGAAGGCAAGTGGTGAGGATGACACAAAGACTGTGTAAAGACATATAGACAGGTTAAGTGAGTGTGCAAAAACTTAGCAGGTGGAACATACTGTGGGAAAACGTGAGGTTATGCACTATGGCAGGATGAACAGAGGAATTGAATATTATTTTTAAATGGAGAAAGCTGCAACACACAGGGATTTGGAGGGCCTCATGCATAAATCACAAAAAGCTAGCATACATTCAGCAAAAGAAAATGGCTTTTATTTCAAAGGGAATGGAGTATAAAAATAAGGAAATTTTGTTAAAAATAGACAAGGCAACCTGTCAGACCACACCTAAAATATGGTGAAGACTTTTGGTCTTAACTAAGGAAAGATATACTGGCAGTGAAGGCAATCCAGAAAAAAGTTTTACTAGGTTGATCCTTAGCAAAGAGGGATTTTGTGAGGAGGAAGGGTTGACTAAGTTGGACCTGTACTTTAAAAGATTAAGAGGTGACCTAGTTGAAACACTTAAGATTTTTAGAGGATTTGATAGAGTAGATGCCAACAGGTCATTTCTGCTTGTAGGACAGCCTAAGACCAAAGGGCATAATCTCAGAGTAAGGGATCACCCATTTAAGACAGACATGAGGAGGAATTTCTTCTCTCAGAGGATAGTGAATCTCCGGAATTCTTTACTGCAGAGGGCTGCCGATGCTGGGTCATTAAGTGTATTCAAGGCTGACTGACAGATTTTTAATCAGTAAAGGAATCAGGGGTTATGGGGAAAGAACGGGAAAGTGGAATTGAGAGTTAACAGATTAGCCATGAACTTAGTGAATGGCAGAGCAGACATGGCCTACATCTGCTCTCACATCTTATGGTCTACCAGAGATAACAATGGACTCCTAAGCACCCAAGTTTGCACAGACCAGGAGTCATTCCCAGGGTGTACAGTTTTAGGCTTCTCATACAGTCATACAGCATGGAAACAGGCCCTTTGGTCCAACCAGCTCATGCTGACCATATTCTAGTCCTATCTGCCTCTGATTGGTCCATATTCCTCCAAACCTTTCCTATTCATGAACTTATCCAAATGTCTTTTAAAAGTTATAACTGCATCCGTATCCACCACTTTCTCCGGAAGTTCATTCCACACATGAACCACTCTCTGTGGAAAAAAAGTTGCCCCTCATGCCCTTTTAAAATCTTTCTCCTCTCACCTTAAAAATATGTCCTCTAGTTTTGAATTCCCCCATCCAGAGAAAAATTCCTTATCATTCACCTTATTTATTCCCGTCATGATTTTATAAACCTCAATAAGGTCACCCCTCAACTTCCTATGCTCCAGTGAAAAATGTCCCAGCCTTTCTTGTATCTCAAATCCTCCATTCCCAGCAACATCCTGGTGAATCTTTTCTGAACCCTCTCCAGTTTAATTATATCCTTCCTATAACAGTGCAACCAGAACTGAACACAGTATTCCAAATGAGGCCTCACCAACATCCTGTACAACCTCGACATGGCGTTCCAACTCCTATACTCAAAAGTCTGAGTAACGAGGGAATGAATGCATGCTAAACGCCTTCTTAACCACCCTGTCTACCTGCGACACAAATTTCAAAGAATTATGTACCTGAACCCCTAGGTCTCTGTCCTACAATATACCCAGGGCCCTACCATTAATTATATAAGTCCTATCCTTGTTTGTATTCCAAATGCAATACTTGACATTTATCCAGATTAAACTCTGCCACTCCTCAACTCATTGACCCAATTGATCAAGATCTCTTTGTAATCTTAGATAACCTTCTTCACTGTCAACTATACCACCAATTTTGGCCTCATCTGCAAACTTACTTACCATGCCTCCCATGTTATCATCCAAATCATTTATATAAATGACAAACAAAAGTTAGATCACATGGGATCCCTGGTCATTGGCCTCCAGTCCAAAAATCCATCCACCACCACCCTCTGTCTCCTACCATAAAGCCAACTTTGTATCCAATTGGTAAGCTCACCCTGAATCCCATGTGATCTAACTATACTAATTAGTCTACGATGCGGAACCTTATCAAAGGCTTTACTGAACTTCAAGTAAACAATGTCTACCGCCCTGCCCTCATCAAATCTTTTTGGTTACTTCATTAAAACTCAATCAAGTTTGCAAGACACTATTTCCCTCGCACAAAACCAAGATGACTTTCCCTAACTACTCCTTGCCATTTCAAATACATGTAAATCCTATCTTTCAGAATCACCTTCAACAACTTACTGACCTTTGATGTCAGATTCACAGGTCTATAGTTTCCAGTCTTTTCCTGACAACCTTTTTTAAACAATGGCACAACATTAGCCACCCTCCAGGCCTCCATACATCACCCATGCTTATAGATGATACAAATATTTCTGCTAGGGGCCCTGCAATTTCCTCCCCAGCTTTCCACAATGTCCTAGGATACACTTGATCAGGTCCTGGAAATTTATCTACCTTTATGTTTTCTAAGACCTCCAGCACTTCCTCTTCTGTAATGTGAACTGTTTTCAAAACATCATTTTCCTAATTTCCTAAGTTCTCTAGCCTCCATTTCTTTCTCAACAGTAAAAACTGATGAGAAATGTTCATTTAATAACTCTCCCATCTCCTGAGGTTCAACACAAAGATGACCTTGTTGATCTTTAAGGGGTCCTACTCTCTCTTTTATTGCTCTCTTGCTCTCAATGTATTTGCAGATTCTTTTAAGGGTAAGCTTTAACCTTATCTGCCAAGACTATCTCATATCCCCTTTCTGCCTTCCTGATTTCCTTAAGATTGCCCCTCCACTCTTTATATGCTTCAACTTCTCAGAAAAAGAATTTATGCAAAAGAACAAAACGAGCATGCTGGATATTGAAGTTATGAGTCAGAGGAGGTGCGTGGCAAGACATCCAGTAGAAATGTCAAAACAAGGGCAAGAATGTACAAGATCACTTCAAATCTTTCCTAAATATCAACATATGATCTGATTAAAAAGAAGTTTGGAGTACTTTCTTGCCATGAGACAGTGAGAGCTTGTGGCTACTTGGAGTTGGACATTGATCAAGACCGTGGAAAGTTTGAAAACATTTACAAAACAATACACGCAGTCACTATAAACCAGCAACATTTCTCCATTACAGCACTCGCTCTATTTATAATGGCCAACATGGACAAATAACCTTTTTAGTCATTGCTCAACACACAAAATTATGTACACGTTGCACATTGATCCTGATGATTAGATCAGTGCAGTTCTACAATCTATTTTTATTGCCAAATAAGTTTTGTTTTATGAAGATGAGAATAATTGCTATGATATGATAATATCATATTCACTCATATTCAG